ACCATGAGGCAGCAGTGTGCCCTCGTGGCCAAGAACGCCAATGGGATCCTGGGGTGTGTTAAGAAGAGCATCTCCAGCAGGCAGAGTATGAGGAGAGGCTGAGAGAGCTGGGCCTGTTTAGCCTGGAGAAGAGAAGGCTGAGAGGGGATCTGATCAGTGTCTATAAGTACCTCAAGGGAGGCAGTGAGGAGGATGGTGCTGGCCTCTTTTCAGTGGGGGCCACTGACAGAACTAGAGGAAATGGCCAGAAACCGAAGCTCCGAAAGTTCCGCATGAACTTAAGGAAAATTTTTTTAACAGTGATGGTGACAGAGCACTGGAACAGGCTGCCCAGAGAGGTTGTGGAGTCTCCTTCTCTGGAGATCTTCAAAACCCGCTTGGACGCAGTCCTGTGCCACGTGCTCTAGGTGACCCTGCATGTGCAGGAGGGTTGGACTAGATGACCTCTAGGGGTCCCTTCCAACCTTAAGCATTCTATGATTCTATGATTAACAATGAAATGACAACAAACAAAGCAGGTGAGCCTTCCCTCTACTATTCCTCCTTTCACTTTCCATGGTCCTTCCACCTAACAGAAGTATTTTATCTTCTTTACAGAACTTTCTCCAAGGCAATAATTATTTCAAGGGTGGTACTAATAGCTTTTGTCCAGCATCAGTTACACAGGCAGCTATAATGCCTGTGGCAGTACACCAAGAGCATGAGAATACTTAAACACAGTTTGCAGGAGAAAGAAGAGTGTAAGCATATTTCAGTTGCTTCACATTAAGACTAGATGTAAAGCACATCAGGTCAGACATAAAAAACAATTATTCTGCTATTCTAATGGGACAAGATGGCCTAGTATTGACGTAGTGATATGCTGTAGTAAATATAAGAATACAAAACTGATGCCAAAGCCTACCATTTCTTCACAAAAAATGCTACATATACCTTTGTAGCACCAGTATGAAACTAGCATACGTGGACCTATTTATTTTGTTCATCTATGCATTAATACTATCATATTTTCTAATATCCATAGGCAAGGTACAGCAGCTCTGCTTTAAACTTCATTTACATTTTAGATACATCAGGAAACAGCAGTAGTTTTAAAAAAAAAAAAGCCTGCAAAACATTTAAGCTAATCTAGAATCTCCCACATAAGAAAAAGATATGAGCAAAAGACAAGCCCTACTGTTACAAAAATATCCCTTTATATCTATAGCCCAATGCTCAAAGAAAAGTTGCGGAAACAGTTCCAAAGAAAATAGTACAAATATCTCCTCAAAATTCACCAAAACACTTGTATACTAAGAAATAAATTTCACAACAAAGCATTTCAGTAATCAATTCCTTAAATACAAATATATATATATATATTTAAAGTATATGAACAGCTTGTTTAACCCTATGCTTATATTTAATTTATAGTAGTTCCAATTTTTGTATTATTGTTAGAAATGTACTACGATAACAAGAGACAAAGAAATGGAAGGAAGTTACTAAGAAATAGCATATCTACTTTTTTTTTATGCTGTTAACATCATAACTTTCCCTCAGGCACACATAGAAATTTCAGACTTTTGTGGCCTCACATACTGAAATGAAATAAAACCAAAACATATGAAAGATAAAGAAGAAATATCATGTAAGTGGAAGCTAAAAGAAAATTCATTCCTTCTCTTGCCCATCAACATCAAATAAGCTAGGAAGAAGAGCAGTCGAATTACTGAAATTGATGTCATATCAATTGGAAAACTGGCTGAGCCCATACAATGAGCAGTAATTGCTCTCTACCCAATTCATGGGTCCAGGCTGTCTGTTTCCATCTGCTCCTATGCAATTTAAGCAATTCTGAACTTTGCTCTCTGTTCCTGAACGTATCACAGATTTATTAGAGTGTCAGGTTCCAATTCTTACAACTCTTTGGTAAGGTAAGCTATTATGAGGAGCAAAATTTGTATGTCTATAAATGTCATGCCAGGAAAATTTAAGGAGGACAATCACACATGACCTTAACGAACTCTCCATGAAAAATTCATAGGACAACATAATACACACCCACATCCCCAAAAGAGAGGTCATTCTGTTCTCTCCTTGCATATAAAGATGGGCTTACTACACAATACCAAGTACTATGAGAAGCTTACATTTAAAAAAAAAATGTGGTTGGCCTTGGCAAGAAAAAATCAGCTTCCCTGCGGTTCTTACTTCCCAATAGAAAAGTACTGGAACTCTTCAAAGACACACACACGGTAGCTTAATCTTTGAATATTTTTCATAAATGAAAGGGACAGAATCTTATTACAAGCTCAATTTTGCACATGACAGTTACTTCACTTGTAAACAGGTCATCAAATTATCTGGTATTATCTAAACCTTTTTGCTGGATAAAAAGATGCAAGACGCAGCTGTTCATGCCCTCACAGGAAAGACAAAAGTACAATATTCACATCTTTGAATTAGACCAATGAAGATGAGATATTGTAAGTAAAATCCAAGCCACAACCCTGCATGACAGAAGATGACCTAAGCAGCTTTGCCTTTGTTACTGCCAAATTTTGTATTTCATAAATATTTTCTAATAAATAATGACAATTGATTTTTTTCAAATCACATACACTTCAGTATTTGACTAATCCCCACTTACATCATGTGTGATATATCAAGTAACGGTATGTCAACTTATTCTTTGTTCTGCTCTCGTGTAGATTAAAATAATTACATTATAACAGATGTATATTATACAATAGATGATCAACCTTCTCTATTTTGGCAGAGTATGTATCCTCTGCTCTACCACCAACTTGTACTGTGTTACTAGAGAACTCACTTTACTTCTAGGCTGCTCAGTATTATCATCTGTAGCATGGGTAGGCTAATCATGACTACTGCCAAGAATTTTGAAATTCATAAGAAAGGGATTGCTATACATAAATTATACTACCAAAATCTGTTTTATATTGCATTGTAAAGAACTTTTGCTACAATGTGTATTTTAGTCTTTTTGTAAGTCATGTGCATGACTATATCATTACCATTTCAGATCCTAATGGCTTTTTATTTGTTAGAGTTTTCTAGCACTGGCTCTATTATTGTGAAGTAAAAGAAAATATTGTTCTGACAGCGATAAAAATAGCCTTTTATGGCAAAAATTACAAAACCTAATATATATAATTATATACTGTCTATAACAGCTGCTTAGATATATATACAAATAGTACTACAATGTAATTAGTTTATTCCACAACAGAAAAAACATTTTTTTAGGTATCTAGAAAATCTAGAAACACTAACTTTTAAACTCTCTCGTAAAATGCCAAAGAAAATCTGTAAGTTTCTGTTTTCTATATATTAGCAGAGCATATATCAATTAGAGGAAGGGAATTTATCTTATTTAGCCCCCTTATTTATCTTAAGATAAATAAGTTCCATTGACTTTCGTTGCTCAAGTCACTTCCATTGACTTGAGCAACCACTAATGCCTAAGATCCAGGAATGCTTCTGAGTTTTTGGTTCCAGGTATGCAGTCAGAACATGCTCTGGTTTAAGGCGGAACTATAAACAGAGTGGCAGAGTGGCACTTAATACAATACATTTTTTAAATAAAATTACAAGACCACGGATAAAAGTAACTGTGCTGTCTATGACAGACTCCTGAAGATTTCAGACGTAACACTGCACATCACAGATAAAAACAGTGTTGTCTGATACTAATAGAGGACATCCTAAATCTACAATGAATAGGCTAAGTTAAAGGTCTCATAACTACAATACAGACTCACCACAGAATATTGTTTCTAGTCCCTTGCTGCTAATGTTCATCAATACTTTTGGGTAAATAACATAAGGAAGTGGATTCTTAATAGAGTTTGACACCAGTTACTGTTTCATAAATTTCTGGCCCGAAGAAACTGCATAATGTGAGCACAATCATGTAAAATACATTTTCTTTCCTCTATTAAAAGACATGCACCTCAAAGAACAGCCGAGACAGCTACAGCAACAGGTGCATTCCTCAAAGTAAGGAGTTATCACCCTTGTCCATGAAATACTGTGCCTGGTTTCATTGTTTGTTGAGTGTGACTCCCTTTTTCTCACTTAATAATAATAAATATTATTTGAGAGCTTGTTTTGAAGTGGACGCTACTCTAGCTTTACTTGTATCATATTTAAGTTAACATCAGCTGCAAAAACGACGGGTGAGTGAGGTCAAATTCCATTTCTTTGTCTCATAGGATTTTAAATAGGCAAATTCAGTAGTTATTGCATATTAGTTTACATGAACAGACCAAGAAGCAGACCTTTGTACGCACTCAATATTCTTCAAAGGACTACTGCCATGAGGCAAAGGTTTTCAGCTTAGTCTGAGTTAAAATTTAAGCTTTTAAAGAGTTAATATAATTAGACCATTCTCTCAGAGCAACACATTGTGAGCATGCTGTACACCAATATAAACTGATACACTGCAAGTCAAAACAAAAAGGATTAAGAATTTTTTCCTTCATGTTTTCTTCTGTTGTTGTTTTTCCCTCACCACAACTTAAAAACAGGTAATCTCGAGCAGGCCCCGAGGCACTGAAGCCACATGCGTGCACACATCGACCCGGCTGGAGAGGAGCTCTCCTCGTCTAGCTTCATCGAGCCGCAGGGCATCACGGCACGCCTGGCTGGGCCGCAACCGTCCCAGTCTTGGAGGCGCTGCCTCTCCACTGCGACCCCCCGCTTGCGTTTACACCCCGGCGCCCAGACCCCTGCCCAGCTGGCAGCCCGTCCCGGGGCGCGCCCCGGGCCCGGCGCTGACCGCAGGGCACCGCTCCGCCCG